CCATAACTGCTTTCGAAGATTGTATTAGCTCTCTTAACCAGAATGTCATTCTTGGAGCCTCAGTAATTACCTGCTGTGCCAACTGTTAACTTAACATGCCAACTGTTAAGTCATGAATGAAACTGTATGCTCCTCACATCAATCTATAGAAAGAAGATAAATTAGTTCAATCTTCTTCTCAGGACTGCATTACAGCAAACTCAACTTTCAGTCAAAAACATGTTTGTGGAACCTCTTCCTGTTTTGCTATGAAATTAGCATGGCTTTATAGGGGAAGCATTTCCCTAATCCTTGTCATCATCTATATTTTAACAGTCTGCTTAGTTACTAGAAGTCAGAATGGGAGCGAATCCCATTCTGAGCAATATTTACACATGTACAGAGCAATGCAATATTTACACATGTACAGTGAAATGGATATTGAAGAATTTAGCCCTTAAAAGCTACAGAGGGAAGAAACACAGAATCCAACTTAGATCTATTTTTCTCTCAATATAGCTTTTGTTTGTAGCCTTGCCACTGTTCCTATTTGCCAATATACAGAAAACAAAAATAAGCATGAGATATTTCATAGATATTTTACTTTGGCCTCTGAGCATGAAAGCTGTGGAGCACGGTTTACAGATGCCTGAGCAAGGGCTGACAAGCTGGTGCATCCAGACAGCAGAGCACATTGCTGAGCAGAAACATTGTTTTGGGGTTGAGAAGCAGACTAGCTGCACTGATGTTCTCTTTGTTTCAGCATATTAGCTTATTAGCTTGGTACAGAACCATGCCCTGTGTTGCCTCTAGTTCTGGAGCTAATACTATCACAGCAAGCTCAGCTTTCTCTGCATACTGCTCCTTATGTGGCATAAATTTGTATCCTGCATTGTTGTACTGTCTCATCAGTTAAGTTCCATTCAACCTGTCCTTCAACTTGTCTAAGACTATTATTTTCTGAAGCCACTTGTCTAGCCCTTTTAGAGATACACAATGAGATTCCTTGCCTCACCTTATAAGTGAGGTCAAAGGCCAAGATCTTGCTGTATTGATCAGTGGCTGAAACTGCAGGAGAAGGAGAGTGGATGAAATGAGAGAACTATGTGACATCTGCTTTTACTTGCTAATAGATTTGTGTACCTTTGAAGAATGAGCCAAAAGTCATATCAGCATCTCCATAATAAGACCTTTCCAGTTTCCAGAAGGTGAACGATTGAATAGCAGTGGAGAAAGAGAGTATGAGCATGTGTTAGGCATTTTTATGCACTCAAAGTAATATAAGGTAGCAAGAAATAAGCGACAGTACTTTGGACAAACCTTTTACAAACCTGTCTCCCAGAAGCGTTTGGGGGACTGTTTATCTATAGCTAGCCAACATATCCCAAACTTAGTTTTGTAAAAAATCCATTCTTGGTGGGGAAAGTAAAAAAAATTTTGAAGTTTGGCCACCTCTTTGTTTGTTATTAGGGTTTTTTTTCCAATAATTTGAATATAAAAAAATGTATTTGAAAAAATTGTTGCATAGTTTTGACTGTGCAATGGTAACTCATCCCATTTGTGTGTTTGCCCAGCATGCTGTAAGGAATTGCCTTAAAATCTTTGATACACAGAATGATTGAACAATCATAATGATTTTGGATTTTTTTGCTGTTCAGGGTGCAGCCTCCTATATGATTTGCTGCATGAAATTAAAATTTCTGCTCTGAATACCAAATCTCTTATTTTCTTAAGAGCTTTTTTACTGCATTCATCATAGTGGTATCTGAATGCTCCAGAAACATTAATTACAGTTTATCACACCCGTATGAGGGGAGGCAGCTACATTGTCCACATTTTTTAGGGGAGCTTTTAATGGTTTTTAGTGGAATTGACAGTATCTAGCACTTTAAAAACTCACAGCATAAGTCCCATAGATTTCAGATGTGGAGGTGAATGCTCACCACTTCGGCAGATCAGACACAAAGGTATCAAGGTAGTCTCCAAGAAATGGAGGAACACCCACTCAGGAACTGCATGTGAAAAATGTGGGTTAGCGTAAACCAAGCATCGTGCTGGAGCCCCGTGGCACTCTCAGGGGTCAAATTAATTCAGCTTTAGTTTTCTCTTCCTCTGTCCTCCTGCTTTGTATTTTTCCTACCATTCAAGTTCCGCAACAAGTGAGATGCATGTTCTAGAGGAAGGATCTTCTTTTGTGACATGGCTGTTATTTCATGCACTAAAATGCTCGTGGGGATTGTGGAAAATGTGATATATGATGATATAATTGCAAAACAGTATAGCATGTTATGTGATAAAATATATTTCCCAGCTTTTCTAAAAATCACATTGACAAGCTTAGAAACTCTGGCATGTAGAATCACCAATATCAGAAGAGGTCACATAGTGGGGTCAGGCACCTTAGTCTACAACACAATCCTTCACCACTTGAATTAATGGAATAACAGATAGCAATGGGAGGTAGCCATCCTGTTTGTTGGCCTCTTCCCCTCATGCTTGTCACTCCCCTGCCAAGCTCCTCCTCTCAGGCTTGCACCTTCTTTCAGTTTGTGTCCTTTCCTGTACTCTTGTTACATTTATTTGTATTTGAGTTATTTAGCTTTCTCTACCTGATCTTAAATGGTAATAACTGCAGTTCTGAAAATGCAGGAAAGAGTTTCCACGTTTTTAATTTCATTGTTTGACATCGTACGTCTAGATCTTCTGTGACTGAAAGAGCTATTACAGAGCAAGGCTTACTTCACTGTTAGCAGACTTAAGAGAATGCAGATAATGAACTTCAACATTTCTCTGTAACTTTTCAGCTGAGATTTTTCAAGGTTACTTTTTTGATCACATTAGGGTGGTATTTTCAACAGATAGAGTGGAAGCCTCTTTCCCACCAGCGAGGTAGTGCCACTGCAAGATTAGAGTGCTCTGTGGCTAAAAGCACTGAAGTTTTTTCAGCAAAACAGTTGTAAAATATCAATAGCTACATCTTAATCTATACCTGTCTATCTATACATAAAATAAAAAATGATTTTCTTAAACCTTGTTCTCTGAAGACATTCATATTTGGTGAAATTTCTCAACGTACGTTTTTAATCAACCTTAAACATGTACTCAGCATGGAAGGCTGTAATATAAATACTTTTACTTTTGACTCAGTCTAAAGTACTTAAAGCAAGGACTAGCCATGGCAAAGGTCAAAAAATCCTAGCTATACTGTCTGCGTCGCCTATGATAATTGTTAAATCCATTATGTTCAATGAAGTTACAGAGTCAAATGTGGTCAAAATCGGCCTGTGCACCAAGCATTAGGCAGTGATAATGATAGAGCTCATTATAATAATGATAATGACAATTCTATCATTAGAATTGCACTGGAGATGGAACCTGGATCATGGAATTTATTTTTAATATAGGGGCTCTTCACAAATCTTCACAAATCTATCTAAATGCTTACTTGGAGTATCAAAGCACAAAGTTTATATTTGTCCTACTGAAGCACAAACATTCTGTGTCAGTCTTAGGCACACCAGAATCATGAAAAATCTAGTTAAGGCAGAGTTATTGTAACCCTCTACATAACTCACACAGTCTGCTTGGTGCCCATGCTGGTGACCTTGGGAGAGTAATCTTGATATTCCCAGAAGTGAAAGCTCATGCAAGACTAAGAGGATTGTCATTTAGTTGTAATCATTGACACCTGATTAGCATTATTCTTTTTTAGACTGCTTTGTGGTGATTTTGTAGTGGACATCGGTGGTCAACGTTTGAACCTTTAGGTGTGGGCTCCATAGACATTGTGCATTTCCCTCCCATTAGAATAATGTTCCTGCTGGACAGCTGCTACAAGTTCCTGTTTCACTCACTTCTTTATCTACCCGCACGTCTGTGCAACAGGGACAGAAAAGGTAGATCTTATTTCCTGAAAGGCCTCTTTACTCCTATCCTAGAAGACTTTTGCAAATACAACAATCTAACATGTGGGTATTCACATGAATCTCAGCATCTATGTGTGAAATTATGCCACTTCTAGCTGGAAGCTAATAGGTACTTAGCAATGCATAATAACATTATGACACTAATTGGGACAGATTATCAACAGTCTCCTTAATAATTGCAACTACACTGGGGAATTTAAGTGGGGAGCTGTAGATACTGGAGATGGGGATGAATCCTTTGCATCTGACTTTGCAGTTAAAACTGGGGGTGTTCCAGACATGAGTTTTGTTTGCTTTTTTTTTTTTTAGTCAACTCAGTAAGAAAAATGACAGCTGCAAGTTTTAAAGGTGAAGTAGAAATATTTTGGTATTCTTTTATCTTTATTCTTTACTTATCTTTATTATTTACTTTTATCTTTATTATTTACTTCTTGTTTACTTTGGATGTTTTTATCTAAGAGTTTAACTTAGGTCTGTCTCTAGAAATTAATGGAGTTCAAATTTAACTAAAAGGAACGGCAAATAATACTGGTGGAACTGGTGAAACAGCACTTCTGAATATTAGAAAATACCACATTTTCCATTTTCTTTGTTCCCTGTGGATTTGTGACTGAGTCTTTACATCCTGCTTCTCCACAGCAATAACTCAATTTCTCTCCTGCCTACCTGGTCCCCAGATCCTCTCATCATCCTCATTCTTTTTTTCCCTCTCTCTCTGTCTATACCTTCAGTTACTTTCAATTTCTCTGCTCTCACAAGTTCTCCAAAGTGTTCAGGCAAAAGGCAGCATGAAATGTAGCCAGCCAGCAGGCCAAACAGCACAGATCCTTACCTTTCATGAGATCGTTGCTCTGGGTCTCTGTCCTTTCTTCAGCTGCCTTTTTCAGAAACATACAGGAATTGAAACCAGTCTTGCTCCTTCAAAGTCTTTGAAGTTAATAAAATATTTCAAAAAACAAACAGACCAACAGCATGATCACATAAGTCTTATGCCCTGGGAAAATAAGGCTTAAAATGAGAGACCTGCTTTGTGATAACAAGTTTGAAGTGGCATATCACTCAGATGTCTCTTTTGTTTGTTTTGATGTTCAACAGTTTGACATTGACAAGGAAGCAGGAGAGAGACAGATTTACCATCGTTACTGTATGGAACGGGCATCTGTACATTGTGCCCATGTGTTCACCACAGTCTCACAGATAACAGCTATAGAAGCAGAACATATGCTTAAAAGAAATCCTGGTAAGACCTGAATTATTTTCCTATACTATGTTATCTTAGAACCTACATTTTCTCCAACTGAATAAAAATGATAGAGAGAGACAAGCATACAGATATGAAGAGCAAGACACAAATGCACAGGTATTTCTGGCTAAACTACAGAAAATAACCAGCATACAGATATGAAGAGCAAGACACAAATGCACAGGTATTTCTGGCTAAACTGCAGAAAATAACCAATTTTCAAAAAGAAAGTGCAGACAAAATCACTTGAAACAGATTCTAGTAGTACATATAATCCAGGAGAAATCAAATTCAGCACCATTTCATGGGAGCATTATTTTACCTCCAGATGTTAGGCTTTCTTTTCAGAGACAACCTAAGCCTCAGGAGTCTTGTCTATAGTAGGGCTCCCAGTGATAGCAATGCATTCAGCTCAAGCGATGAAAGTGGAAGCTGGAATCTTTGTAATGTATTTCACCAGCTTATACAGACTTGAGATTTGTTGCTTTGATAGCAATGAGTGATATATTATTTTAGAAATGTAGGAAAAAACATTCATATATGAAAAGGAATGCTAGATGTGATTTGCTTTCCAGTGTTAATACTGTTTTTCTTACTATTGAAAGAGATAAGCCGAAAAACAAATGGTAGATCAATACAGTTCATTTCTTTATATCTCTCACAGGCAGCACTGGCAGTGTGGTTGTGGCCATGGTGGTCTCAGGACCTAACCATGACAGGTTTTTTAGATAGATATAGTATTTTTCATTAGACCAACCAGTATAGATTGAAAAAATAGTCAATATACTAATGTGCCCAAAAGTTTATCTGGTTTTCCCCATTATATTAGTCTCATAAAAGATGGTACTTATTAACAAAACTTGTCTTATTCTGTGCATGAAGTTTGAGTAAAGTAATGGTCCCATTTGATGTGTCATTAAAGTACTGTTTAAATCAGTATAATGCTTTGTAAAGACAAGCCATGATACTCCATCTGCAGGTATGCATCATGGGGGAAAAACTGCAAAACGATTTTGAGATTATTTAACAGGTGCATTCACCATCTTAGTTAGTTATTTTGGGTATAACGATACTCAAATGGCTAGGGTGGTTTTTTTGTTAGCTTATTCTTCATAGTTTTGTTTTAGGTGAATTGCAGTGCTAATTAAAGGTCTGAGATGGATAACCTCGATAGCTGCAATGCTTCAAGCCACATCATGGTTGATGTATGAGTATAACAGAAAAATTGTTCATTCAATCCTTTGCCATTGACAGACTTTGCCATTTGACAGACTATTGACAGACAACCAATAGGGCGATGAACTTAGAATATTTTTCCTTTTTCAATTTAAATATGAAAGCCACATCTTAAAAGTAATTCAGATGTTTGGTCATCTAACCTGGGATAACTCTGAAATGTCTTGCTTTTACCAAGTGCAGAGCACTTGACCTCTGAAAATCAGACTTTTGAAGCTGTTTTATTGGCATAAGGCTTCTCCCCACAACAGATACTCTTGAAAATCATAGATTATGTTTTGGGGATTTTAGGAGACTGAAATGAGTCTTAAATTTGGGAGCTGAATTTGGGAGATAAAAGTCTGCAAACTGCTCAAAGAAAGAATTTCAGTTGAAGCTGAAGAGAATTCCTTGCACAGAGATTTACATACCTGAGCTTTTTCTGTTTACTCTTGTAACTTGGAAGAAACCAGGTAAATATCCAAGATATATCTAAGTATTGAGTTAAAAAAATGTTAACATATATCATGCTTCATGCTGAAAGAGCTATAAGGAAATTCAATCAGAAATGGTACCCCAAATACTAGAGACAGTTATAAGTGGAAAATATGTCCTGGTGAGCATAAGCACTTTAGTAGTTTTCTTTGAATATTAGACCATAAGTAAACTGGTCTATAGGAGTGGCTTCTCACTAACATTAAAGTTGGACTATAATTTACATTACAAACCTCATCATTTGGAAGAGCCCACCATACAATTCGGTAGACATGATTGTGTAGAGAGCTTTTGCAGTGGGGCAAAAGACAATCTGCCAGGTTGTTAGATAAAGTGCACAGTCTACATCTACCACAATGACTGCTCGCATTAGGCTGATTCCACATGTTGCTGTTGTGCTTCATTTTTTGATCAATAATTTACAGCAAATCATATTTGTCAAAAACTTGCATCTCTAATGTTCCACCTGTTCTCTCTGAAGTATTATGCAAGGTTCTATCAGTGATCATAAACTATATTCCCATGGTTTGAAAACTGTTATTATGAGACTTATAATTATTTTCATTCAGGTATGAAACATATTTGCCATTAGCAGTAGAGAAGACTTTCAGTTAAATTTCGAAGATGTAGACCTAGACTTTGTATCTGTACATACCTGATCAAACCTATAGAATTAATTTCTGAAAAAGCGTGAATCAGCCCTGAATCTTTGTGATTTATACATAGAAAATATCATTCTGTGGTATTATTATTTATATATTTATATAAATGCCAGCTTCTTTCCTGTAGATACAGAAGTCAAATCATTTTGATTTGATCTACTTGAGGCAACTTTGAAACAAAAATGTCATTCATTCATTAAACCAAAAAACCCAACACACTGAAAGTGGGAACAAAGTTCTCTTTAATCATTTTTCTCCAGTACAGGGGAACATTGCCTCACAGATTCTCAAAATATTTTATATGTTGAACAGATATAGTGAACTGAATGCTTTGGGCCACGACATCCATTCTGTATCTCAAAGGCATAAGTAAGAGTCAGATTCAACCCTAATTCAGATGAAAGGGTCAGTGGAGCTCCAGTTGCATCCAAGAACGTGGAAGCAGATGATACACTGGCTGCTGCTGATAAGGGAGAGTGTCCTAACCTCCCTAGTAAATAAATACCAGAGGACGGATGGAAACTGGCCAGAAACACCCAGGCAAGGAATCTTTCTGTTTTGGGAAGAGCTCAGCTGGCTTTAAAGTGATTGCAGTATCAAAGCTATGTCCTGCATGAGCCAATTCTGAACAATTCAGCCAATGCTGAACAAGAAGCAGGTCAAAGAGAAGGAGAAAGATGGATGGAAGGTATTTCTGCTTTGCTGACCCAACACTCACATAAGACCACAGCAGGCTTTGTTCAGAGCAGCTCCTGTGGAGTCCTGTAATTCTAGGCAGCAGAAGATAAGAACACAAGTGTTTTTGTTAAGTCAGCCAATGTTCTCCTTTCTTCACGCTGGGAACTGAACCCTAGGAACTTAACCAAGTAAGGATTTCCTAGTAAAGACTTGTCTTCTGTCCAAAACATGATATTTCAAGAGAAATCCATCAAAATTGTTGGTATTTCGTGGCTGCTAGTAAGGGCTGTAATTTTATCTACTGTTGTTTAAACTGAATAGTCTTGAAATTCTTTATAGGATAAATAAAGAGTAGTCACAGATCACTTACTTACCTGATGGAGAAATACACATACTGCCAAAGTAGACTATAAATTTTAAGGAAATCTTTAGAAGTGGCCATGACAGTGGCCAGAAAAACATCAGGCAAGTATACTGAACAGCATATGGAGAACTGATTGCACTTCCTTTAAAATCATCTTATTAAGTATTCAGCCAAAGGAGTCACAGATGTTTTGAAGAAGTCTCTGGTAGCCACTCCAGAAATAAGAGACAGTTTTCTAATAGGTGAGATGCATCATGCTATAGGCATGCAATCCTCTACTTTTGGGAGAAGAGATGATAAGCCCTGAACAGCAGGCACCCTTGATCAAAGACCACAATGGCAGTAAGTTCAAGTCCTGTATTGGTAGCAGGCGAAAGAGACCATGCTCACATCAGTAGCCTTGATGTGAATGGGAATTAACCATGAACACTGAGATGAAAGGAGATGCTGGAACACTGTGTGCTACTAGAGAATATCTTACAGTGGGTCCTGTGGATGCCAGATAAAACTGAAAAAATGACTACGGTTAGTGGTCGTACTTACTAGAGAGCTGATGACACTTGCAAGGAGAGCAAGTATTATGAAATCAGTACCAGTAAATCCTGATAATTAACACCTCTTGCTTCTCTAAAGAGTCTTTGTACTTGAGGAAGCTCTGGTATTGTAAATTGTTATAGCTCTACTGAAGTCAGTTTTCTAACTGTGAAATATATCTGCTGAGGAACTGGCCTTCCTTTCGTTTCCAGGTATGCCTGGTTTTCCTGGGCCAGCTCACAGGAAGGAAAATGGCATTCTTTCCATTTGCTTTACCTAGGTTTAGGCAAGCCTTTAAACAGTTGCTACACTCTACCAGAAGGAGGAAGGGTGGCTGAATTTAAGTGTTGTTTGGAACAAGCTACGTTTGTCCGTACCTCTACCTTAGAAGACACAGGAAATGAAATGAACAGATTTTAATTGTAAGATGCTTTGAAATCTGTGAGGAGAGCTGCCATCAAAGTGTAAATAATACTATTCTGTGACTGTCTGTGGGAGAAATCTAACAGCTTACTGAAAGGTGGTCTTTTAAAAATATTTCTAATATTCTCTCTTTTCCAGTAAATCCTCAGAAGCCTTCTTAGGACAGAACTCTGTTGTACCATGTAGTGTGCAAGTGCATAGTACAAAGCAGTTTCTGCTCTCAAGACTTTTCCATCTATACTGATAAAGCAGGCAACAGTAATATTAAGAATAAAGAGGTAAAGGGATGTATTGCACAAAAATGGCTAAATAGAGGTATAATTTCAGTCCAGATAGGAAAAAATAGCTTCCAAAGCTTTCTGAAATGGTGTGAAGAGACCGTACTGTTTGGTAGGGCCCATACTGATGTCAGCATGATACAAAGCCACTTTAATGCTATAGATAGTGGAGTGCCTCATGGAATGGCTTTGTGGAGTAGGCTGAAGCAATTACTTTAGAACTTCACCCATGTAATTATAAACCTACAATCTCCTAGTGTTCCACAATCACTGAGCTGGTGAAAACCCTTGTGTTAGATAGTGCTCTTCCCTACCCGTGACTAGTAAGAATACACTACCTGTTCACATATTTACAACTGAAAGACACGTTGATTCTTTCCTTAAAGATTTCTCTGACTCTGAAGATGTCTACCTCTGCCTTTTCTCTGCTTTTCCAGATGTTGTCACCCCAAATGGCTTGAACATTAAGAAATTTTCAGCAATGCATGAGTTTCAGAATTTGCATTCCATGTACAAGGCTAGGATCCAAGAGTTCGTTCGAGGTCACTTCTATGGGTATGCTTTTACTTTTCAAAAATTAGGAATGGTTGTCCAACACTATTTAAACCAAGAACCAAAGCAGGAATATTGTAAAAAAATACTTCACAGATAAGGTGGAATGTTACGAACTTAGTCAAGTATCTGTGTGGGATTTCTCAGTTAGAAAGTAAAGAAATTCTAGAGACCGGCTCTGGCTCTGCTTAACAGCTTGTGGGATCCAGCAGAAGGCCTTGATTTTTTTCATTATTTACCCAAAATATAATTTACCAGGTTAAGGTGGTCACCTTAATTTAAAGAAATGCAGAAAAGCCTCACTTCCATTATTATCGTGGGATAATAAATTTCTCCAGAATAGAAGATTGTTATGCATTATATTTGATCACATCTTGAAAGACTAAGTACTTATTTATTTGTTTGCTTGGTTTCAGCCACCTTGATTTCAGTCTTGAAAAGACCTTGTTTTTCTTCATTGCTGGAAGGTACGAGTTTTCCAACAAAGGAGCTGATATGTTTCTAGAGGCCTTATCAAGATTAAACTTTCTGCTAAGGGTAAGAAAGCATTTGGAAATGCAGATAACGTAGAGCTTATGCACAACAGGCAAGAATTTCCATGTCATGCTTTGGTGTGTAGGATAATAATTATGATATATTTGGAGTTTTCTTAAAGCTTTCTCCCTAAATCATCAGATTGTACAAAAATCTCAGGTTGCTTAGAAATCAAGCAGTTAGTTAGTTACATGATTAAAGAAAATAATCCATGGTTACCTTCCTTGATTTTACAGAAAAATACTGAAAATATGACTCAAGAGTGTACTTTAAAGGTCTAGACAAGAGAAGGCAAATAAAAGTAATCTTTTAGTGTTGTAATTTAAATACATCTTTTTAAGTCAATCATTTAACTCATTAGGACATGACCATGATCTTCAAAAACTTTGAGTACTATTACTGTATTGGATGGGAATCTTGTAATAAAATTCACAATATGGCAGTGGCCTGATGAATAAGCCTGGGGAAGCCCCTTGCTCCTTCAGGCTTCTATTTCCTCAGCTACAAGATTCATGCAGTGTTTCTAAATGCCTTTATGCAGTACTGTAATGAAGATAATACCTAGGCATTGTCATCAGCAGAAAACAGAGCACTCACCTCCTGTAAATGAGGTTGTTGAAAATATCTCCAGGTGTGTCCTGAAGCCTGATGCATTTAAAATAGAAAAAAAAAATGCTAATCAGTTTTCAGTCAACTAGCAAAGATCAATTGGCTGTTGTCCCAGTCTCTCTCTTTTGTACTCTCTCATTTAAATTAAATAGAAAATCTAGATAAAAATCTTGATACTATATTGTCAGCAAAAGCTGACAAACAATTAATGTTCAAAGCCCTAAGTATACTCGTTCTGCCACCACCATCTATTAATACAGCATTAAAGTCTGTGAACTCCCTGGAAATACTTAATCCATTCACCAGCACAACAATTCACCTAATACAACTTCAGTATTTCCTCCCCAACTTTGCCAAACACTTGCGTTTTGTTGTTTTGGAACGCTATATAACGTCGGTTACCTTTTAATGGGATTTATACAGCTATGAACTATAAATGTTGATAATGTGGAAGGTCTTGCGTGGTAAAAGGGAAATAGCTGCATAAACAATGATTGCAGAAGTCTATTATTGTACCTAAGGACTGACATGACTTCAATCGCAAGCCTGGCTGATGGGAAGTCAGAGGCAACTGTGGCTAGTTTTGAACTAGAGCACTGTAGAAAGGTATAGTGGGTATTGCTTCTCCCATAAGCAGAGCGTAGCTTTATTATGTTACTGTTCCAACATACGTGCCAGCACCTGATTCTGTTCAAAATTAGCCTTTCAAAGAACACTTGCTCTATAATTATTTCTGGAGGTAATCCCATTGGGAACAGCAAGATACCTGTGCTGTTTATGAACCTGAGAATGAAGATGCTTCTTAAACAAGTCTCCAATGGTGGGTCTGAACCTTAAAAACATGTAACATTGGATGGAGTTATTTTATTTTATAGAGCCCTTTTCTTTTGCTACTCGAAAACCTTACTGATACTTTGAAGATAAAATATATCTGTTAGGACAGATTGTTAATAGACAGAGCAATCATGGCATAGGGGACTTTGAACTGGCCTTAAAGAAAGGGAGTAGAGGAATCTTAAAATGGCAGATTGCTGACAGAGTTTATCTTATATCATCCATTTTCCTATATCTCAGTCTGAGAGTTGGCATGCTAACAGCCATTGTTAGGAAACCTGTATTAGACAGTATCCCAGCAACATTCAGCCACCAGAGAGACATTCCAAGCAGGACAGTGAAAAAATAGCTTCAAAATCATCCTTCCTTCTTTTCCCCTCAACTCTGCAGTGTCAAAAGGAAAGGGCATTTTAACGGTAAGAATCTTTGTGGAGTATGGCTTACATATGCAACCATGACTGGATCCTGGCTGGCACCCTTTCCTCATAATCATGTCTCTAAACATCTTTCAGCGTTTTCTAGAAAGTGACATTAACCCATGCAGGCAGTTGTTTGTGTCTCTAAACTTAAAGTTTAGAATGGAAAAAATTCCAAAGACTTAATTTTTACCTCTCTGAACAGTTCACTATTAGCTTTTCTTTAAAGAGCTGCTGACAGGAATACAGCCCCATTCTTCTCCATGCAAAGAATCCCCCAGGTATTCTGAACCTTGTGAGGGCGCAAGGGGAAAACAGGAAATTAAGCTGTCTGCAACCAAAGGGTCAGATTTTCAGCACTTATTTTTTGCCTTGCAGTAGCGGTATGTGATAGACGTGCAAGAAGTTGCTTAAAGGTTTTTGTGCGTCTGACAAGTTCATTCCCTGATGGTTCAGGTAGGCGTAAGTCAGCCAGTGGGGACACTATTGCTAGAGAAAGAAGTTCTGCTTGCTGCAGGGAATCCCATCTCTGCCTGGGCATATCCCAGATAGTAAGACTGAACTAATTTATCACCTTTTTGAACCAAAGAATTTTGTATCAGATGAGAAAATCTGTGTACAATTTTTATTTTTACAGTTTATCTTCACATCCTGAACCATGCTCTCTCAGCCATGAGAAGTAAGGAAGACTCATGTTGCCCAAATTAGAATTGTGTGAACTCTGGTTACTTATACTTATCCTCAGCTATCTCTCTGACTTGCCATAAACTTCACAGATAAAGGAAGAGGGACAGGATCAGAGCCTTCCTGGAAAAGCAATGAAAGTGTAATGGGTTTTGCTGTGACCAGCTCTCAGTATTAAAGTGGTCTGTGATAGCCTGTAGTGGTGTGATTTTTTTTTCTCTTCATCTCATGTCCATGTAGGTTCATAAGAGTGATGTTACGGTTGTTGTGTTCTTCATCATGCCAGCAAAGACAAACAATTTCAATGTGGAAACCTTGAAAGGACAAGCAGTCCGGAAGCAGCTCTGGTAATTGCCTTTCTCATTGAGGACCTTGTACAGCAAATTAGAGACGTACAAGTTTCTTATGAAAAAATAATACTCTTTCTTTTTGCTCTGCTAAAATTGAGGATTGTGGATAACTTGAATCTATTTGGGGGAAGAAAGAGACAGTAATGATAAATAAGGGCAAATATTTCTCTTTTATTATTCTAAGTTATTTTTAGAAAGCTTACCTTGTCATCTTTTGTAACAGGTTAACAGATAGTACTTACTTTGCAGTGACAGAATCAAAGGTACTAGAAAAATCCAGTCTTCTGGATTTGTCTTCTGTCTGCTTCTCGTACTCCCTTTGGGCATGTCATTGAATCCCTGCAAAATAAGGAGTACATGCAGATTTACCTGAGTGAGTGTCTCTGTCATTGATAGGAAAAACAATTAATTACATCTGCTCTGCTTCATTATTTAGAAATATGGAAACTGTACTATCTTACTCTCCAGCATGATGTTACAGTTGATAGCAACTGTGTATAATTTTCTATAGCCTACAATGAGCTATAGCTAGCCCCAAGTGATAAACCTAGTTATGAAGGGAAAATTGTCACAGCCTTCTCAGTTTAACAGTTTTCCATTTTATAACAAAAAAAGCGAAGCTGTATGTCCAGGGGAAGAACTCATCTTTCTACCCTAACCTCCCCGTCCAATAATCCTTTAAATGCTATGTGATTCCGCAAAGAGACGCATGCTATGAGGTATTTTTAGACTGAGAGACACTGTAAAGCTGAAGGGTCAAATTCATCAAGGAAATGAGTGATAGGTTATCAGGGATTAATTTTGTTAAAAAGTTGAAAAATGCCGTATTACTTAGTGTATTCACAGATTAATTATCTAAGTGGGCAAATGAAAATGTGCTTCTCAGGTGGCTGGAGCAGTTAAACTGCTGCGTAAGTAAGGAGGCTGGTCTTAAAGCTAAGGGACTAAAACCCACAAGACCTGGTTTCTGTTTTTCGGTATGCCTGTGTCTCACTGAGTTTAACCTCTTTCTGATGCCAGTTCTATATTTATAAAATAATAGACGTCTGAATGGCTTAGAGATCTGTAGGTGAAAGGCACTATGTAAAAGACGGATACTATTTTTCTTATTATATTAACTGTCTCCAGCAGATGATCTCTGGCCGAGTTTCTCAATATTCAGTAAACATGCTGAAGTCTTTGAATAATTGATACTAAAATTGCACAATAACAGTGACAGAAATAGTATCACAACAGCAGTGACAGAAATAGTATAACAAGGGTCATAGAAATCATTTAGCTTTTGCCATATCTGGAAAAGAAGGCAGATAGAAGAGATCAATCTACTCTCTAGACTGTGTCTGGGGTCATCCCACAGCAACTTCTTGGGACTTCCGGAAACATTCTACCTCTTTACCATTCTGGAAACAGGTGCCGCAAAGATATAGATTGGAATTAATTGTCTGACTTGGGCTACCTAAAAATAGTGCCTCTGAGCTGCCTTCACTTCTGCTGGAGAGTGATGGTTGACTGCAGATGGTGATTCATCCTATACCAGTTAGGAAAGTGTCTAAATTGGTGAAGTGAATCATCCTCTAAAATTGCCTGTCACCCTCTGTGGACTTGTGGAAGGGCCACACAACTAGCCTAACCTGTAGATGGCTAAAGGTAAGACAGCCAGAGCTTTTAAGGAGAACTCTATACTCTTGAAGCAAAGCAGGGCCTGCACTGTGTTGGTTTTTGCCTGTTTTGACTCTGCTACCTGGTTATTCCTCCGGTGCTCAGTAATGCAGGAACAGTAATAGCAATAAAGATAACCTTAAAGATGTGAAATCAGCAAAAAATACTGCTTCCAGCTATTCTTCTCACTTTACTCTGTGAAAAGCAAAAGACCTTCTGTGTCATCATGTGCAGTACCGTCACGGTCATTATCTGCATCTGCTGGATAAAACAAGCAGACCTCAACATGATGCGATTATAGTAGTTCATTTTAAGGATGCCACAGAAATTAAATACAAGAAGAGGTTGACAGTTATCGGGGGACAGAAGATGGCTATTTGGGACATAAAAAGTCCCTGTTCCCTGTGCTGCTGCAAAAGCAGCCTATAGTATCTGAGTAAGTTTCAGAGATGGTTCATACCATGAGTCAATGAAAACATGGTCATGACAGGACTAGCTTGCTGGGATTTGGATCAATTGGTCTGGCATCTAGCCACTTTACAACTCACCCAAAATTAACACCTTTGTGTCCATATGAGTTGGGAGAGAGCAACAAAAAACAGGTATGTGGATTCCCAACTCAGCAAAGTTCAGAATTTTACTTAAAAAATTTCATCTCAGCCCGAAGTCAAATTCTTAGAAATCAGAAGGGCAGGAAAAGTTCCAAGAAAGTGGGCATCTGAGTTGAATTGAAAGTGTATTTGCCATTTTGAGAGGAGCATCTTCACTTGTACTTTCAAGCGCTGTGCTATTCCATCTAGGGGTAGGATAAGTTAAGTGGCTCCTTGCATTTACAGTAACTGTTCCCTGAAGTTCATTCACAACTGAAATATAACACGTATCTGGCACAGATTTTGTTACTAATTTAAAAGATGGCCTGAGCTTTCCAGCAAGTTTCCTGGTTTGAAAACTAGTTGATGGCAAACTACTTTTAGTAGTTTTGAAGGTTTTTGAGTTAGGAAATAGAGCAGAAAGAGAAGGAAAGAGATCCTTAACAACCCTATTTGTTTAACTCTTACGCCTTACATCTTGCATCTTTCGCTAGGCCAAGATAAATTTGGAAATTTCTCAGTCTTGATTGTCAATTACCATGTTTCTCTACTTATAGTCGTATATGCTCTTTTTCATAGCTGAGTTAAAAGTGCGGTCTATTGGTCAGAGCAAAGTATTGGAATTAATCACTGCTGAGTTCCGCTTCTGGCTTCAGCAGTGTATTAGTCTTTGGATGTAGATCAAACTCTCAATTGCACTGAAGTCAATCACTGTGGCTGCTAGTTGAGTAAAGGAGCTTTGAGAAACAGGTCTCTGCTTCTGCGTTCTTGGTTTCACCAGTATACATGAAAGCAGATTTTCCTTTCCACCAGCAGGAATTTCTTTTATTCTGTCTTTGTCCTGGATGTGCCTGTTTTATACATACATGTATTTATTTTCCTAGGGACACTGCACAATCTGTGAAAGAAAAATTTGGAAAGAAACTCTACAATGCCCTGTTAAAGTGAGTGCATAGGTTACTTTGCTCTGCCTTGCAGAGCCACATGTTGAGCTGGCTTACCTGTGGTGTTCTTGTGTTTCTACTGCTTGTGTAAGAGGATTTTGTGATGCATAGGAAAGGACATAGGAGAAGGATATGGGACCCTCTGCTCCATATACAGGTTGTTTGTACAATAGGCAAGTCACAAGGTAAAAATAAATAAATAAATAAATAAAGGTAACAGCACCCCATTGTGGAAACAGTCTTAAAAGACATGGCAGATTTGTAAGTAACACTATGGCTTACTCACTGGCAAAATTGAGTTAACTCAGTTTAAAATACCAATGAAGTTAAAGTAATGTGGATTAGTGGCTTGTTCATATTGTTTGAAAAGACAGTTATGGTGAGCTGGAAGTGGATAGCCTAAAGCACAACTGAGGTGATTGGCAAAATAAGCAAAAATAAGGTCTATCTGAAAAACAAAAAAGCGATTCTTTCAACTTTACTGGAAGCTAATTGGAAGGTCAGCAAGTTCAGCCATTATTCTATGTCAAAGATAGAGAGAACAAAATGTAGATAATATAAAAAAGAAAACATGAAAGCAAAGGAAAGATTCGTGTTGACACAGTAGGCTTCAGCTTAGGCCCTATTTGCTGTTTCTTCATTTTCTTTATACAACTTTAATGTAAGTGCATAAGCTCAGAAGGAATGATAATAAGCCATTTGGTAAAACAGGCTCTGTATTGCCTCTACAGAGGAGAAATTCCAGACTTGAACAAGATTCTTGACCGGGATGATATAACCATTATGAAAAGAGCCATCTTTTCAACTCAGGTCAGAAAACACAGTCATTATTTATACAAACATCCAGTACAAATTATAAACATGACTATGTACAAGGATTGTGTATGACGTATAGTGATATGTATGCACCGAAAAATAAGTTTCCAGGAAATATATTTCTCATAGGTAAAATTTAAAGCTCAGCTGTGACTGTCTTTACTGAGAATATGACCCCAACTAATTGTTTTTGGGAATCCATAGATCTTCCTACAGTCACATGCTGGACACAAATCTTCCTCGTTCTTTTCTTCTGCATTAAGTGTAAAGTCTTTACACTGTCCTTAAGGCATTTTTTGTTTTGTTTTATTCTTGTTTTATTCCAGAAGCCTGCATTTTTCCATTTTTATGAAATACATAAAATCAATCTCTTAATAAGAGATAAGATCGATCCCTGATCACTAAAAACCTTTAAAATTAAATTTTAGGTCTTTCTAAAAGTTAGTACAAATACATTTGTTTTGACATATATGAAACAAGTCCCATGACAGGTTTTACAACCTCACTTGTGGCTTGGGTTACATAGGAGACAACATTATATGATCATAACATTCCTTTCTTATCTTAAAATGAAAGGGTAAAATCCCATCCAAGTCAGTGACAAAATCTCCCGCTGACTTCCACTAGCCTAAGAGAATAATAACAGAACTCTTTCCCAACAGCATTCCCTGGCTCATGGAATGTCTTTACTTTCTTTAGCGACACTGCCTGCCTCCAGTGACCACCCACAACATGATTGATGATGGCAATGATCCAATCCTCAATACCATCCGACGCATTGGCCTTTTCAACAATCGGACAGATAGAGTAAAGGTACATTTTGTCATTTGCATTTCAAATATAAAGTGGAATTTCTTTAAACAATCTCAGTCTGGCTCATTAGCAAGGGGGCTACAGTCAAATTCTTGATAGACATACAATGAAATACTACTGGAATACTTCCTCCCTCATCCTCCCTTTCCAGGAATAACAGTCAGTCCTTTCACAGATATCCTCATTTGCTGTTTAACCAAGTTAATTTCAAGTCAGAAATGTAATGTTAGGGATTTAATTGTTCTTATCACTGTCTCCTGTTCTGAATGAGGAACCTACTTAACCTACTCCTGAACTCCAAAAAGTGCCACAGGACATTTGCGCCAGATGTAAAACTTTGTAATAGGTTTTCTTGTTTGCTCAGAACTGGAGATGTAGAGTCTGAGCTCTTGCTTTTCAGGTGCAGGGGTTCATCCCTCAAGAACAGCATCCTGATGCTCAACATTTGCTGTAAAGGATAACCAGGACTCAGATCCTGTTCATGCTGTGTTCATGTTTAAATCAACTGTTGAAGCTAAACTTGTGTAAATAAATCCTTTCCTATATTTCCACATCTATCTTGTGCAGACCACAGAAATGATCACCTCCCACCTCACAGGTATACCAAAGCTTTTTTGGTCTCACAGTCTTTGGCATTAACCCTATTAGCTACCTATTCAAAGTAAAACCTAAAACTGCAAATTGCTCCTCTTCCAAGCCTTCTTTTGACAGGCAGAGCTATAGTATCTCTAACAATGACTCATCACTTGTTCTCAGTATTTTGGCTTTTAAATCAATGATGATAACTCAGTAGCTGTTTTTCTGTACTTCCTAGCATACCTATCAGTGGCATAATGTATTCTCTGCTAAGCATGTCTCCAGTGAGCTCAGAAAACATAATATAATATACTAGATGTAAGAAAAGTAGATTGGAAAGATACACTGTATACAACTATAAGAAAAAATTCCTCAAAACTAACTACTTAAAAGTCAATAAGAAAGCAGATGACATGTAACACCACAGACACCTCTTCCTGCTTCTCAGCAGACTCGACTGGCTAGGTATATGTCAACTTGATACAAAACTGTAATTATCATTATCATCAGGAAAATTGCCTGCTGGGTAAACAGGCTTCGTGTTTAATAAGCTGCATATCATGGACAAAAAGTCTGTGAGCCTGAAACAGAAAGTCGTCTTGAGAACTGTATTACATGTCCATGCAGACACAGCTGGCATGTGAAATCTAGCCTCAGTGATGCCAATGGAAAATCTTGTTTGATTCGCTGGAACTACACATAATGAGCTTACAGTCCGTCTATTAGCTGACTACATTCATGTGTTGTTTTATCCAAATGAGTAACCTGACTGTGTTATTAAGGAAGGATAAAAGCATATCCTTATACGGAATAGTGACTGAACTATGTTCATTTGGGAAAGAAAAGCCCAAAGAATGTTAAATGCATCCCTCACACCTCTTTCTCCCGAAGCTGAATGGACAGCATACACAAAGCACTTCTGCACTGGGCAGCAGAATATAGAGCAGTGACCCCAAACCCAGCCCTAATCTGAGCTGGCAGAGCTATGCAGATAAATTAGCTTGGATCCTGGAAGTATTATAGGGACATTAGCCTAAGCTTTTTCTCTCAGCAAGATAAGTTAGCCCATGCACAGGACTGTGATGAAGTGGCTATAGTATGTCTGATTTCATACTTCTCTCAGTTGGTGATAGATTTACTGAGCGCCACAAGCATTCCTATATTTCATTTGGATGCTGTGACACTCAGGAGTGCTCTGTCCTCCTGAAACCTCTTCTGGAACAAGGCATATGTAACAACATACAACAGACAACAGTTCTGCTGAATGCCATAGCATAGGCATAATTCTCAATGTACATGGTCTTCCTTGCTCAAAGAGGATAAAGTTGAAGACCTGTCCAGAAAATAGTGTTTGGTATCAGTAGTATTTTTAGGACAAGACAGCATGCAGGCAGGTTACAAGGCTGCATTTTAATATCTAATTCAGTAACTGAATTAGATAACAGGATGGGCAAAGGAGGTGTCGTCTGGATACTTAGACAAAGACCGGAGTGAAGAAGTTGCTTGACCTTATACATAATTAAAACGTGTTGACGATAGCTTTCTTTCGGCTCTAATGTAAATTTTGAATACCCAGGTGATCCTACATCCAGAGTTCCTTTCTTCAACAAGCCCATTGCTGCCCTTGGATTACGAAGAGTTTGTCAGAGGCTGCCATCTCGGTGTATTTCCATCATACTATGAACCCTGGGGTTACACTCCAGGTAGGCAATATGTACATTAACTACTATCAAAAGATGAATATCCATTCTGTTGAAGCAGAATATCTCTACAGATATTATCTTCTGGAGTGCTGAAAAAACTCTTTTGACTCTGTTTCCTCTGCAGTGCAAAGCTCTTACTGCTGGCAAAATTTGGGGGCCAGGTGGTATAAAATGGCATCTACTGACTGACAACTACTCACATTTGTCCCTGCGCTGGACCCTTTCCCATACTAGCATGTAATCTTTTGATTTTCTGTGGCTTTAGAACAAAAAATCATTTTTTAAAACTTGATTTTTAAATTGATTCAAAGATTTGGAAAGAAGATTTAGAGGAATGTACATACTGCAAAAGTAGGGCAAGAAATCTGATGCTACCAGCAGACATACTTCAGATAACCGTTAAGTTTGTTAGAGATCTGCAAATTTACAGTAACTACCTTGCCACCTCCATCATACCTTGGGTATTTACCACAGACACAAACAGTGATAGAGGATCTCACAGACTTAAAGGGAAATTTCTAAACGTACAGAGAACATGTAGTGTCTAACTTAAAAATAGGGCCCAGATTTACAATAGGCACTTAACACCTACTGAAATCAGTGCAAACTATGAACTTGGATACCTATGAAGATCAAAGCCTAGGCACCAGTCTTTTTTCATGCCCTCCAGAATATTTCCTGTAGTCTTCAAAAGCACTGAAAAGTTTGGATGCTCCTCTGAAGTGCATCTGTTGTTAAAAGAAATCTCACAAAGCTGATCATTCTCTAAAGCTATTTAAGTACTTTGTCTCTCCAAGTCAGAGAGCTATCCAGTTCCAAGTAAGACAACTGTTGTGTATTAAGCAGTTTCTCTTCCTGTCCTTTAGTCTCAGCTAAGGGGTAAATAACAACATGTGACAGCCAGGGATGATTTTGAAGTAAAACTTTAAATTAATGTAACCAGAAAAGTTGAGCTGTTACTTACCAGTTTGGAGGAAAGCTATGATTTATACTACTTAAAGGAATTTTCCTTTACTAATGCAAAAGTGATTCTCTTTATTGATACCCATATAATTCTCCTAGAAACTATAAGTGATCTTCTTAGGTGGATTGCAGCTCTATTTTATAGTCACTAGTTTTATTGTCACATGCCTGAAGGTCATATAGATGGCTTTCAGCATTTTAAAGACCATAGTGTCTTACTTAAGCTGTATGCTGCCTTAGGTTAGGCTCAAGTTCATCAGCACAAACTCTTTGACCTGAATAAATAGTTATTCTTACTCACAATGATGATAATAACAAAAGATGCACACATGTTATCATTTTATAAAATAAGCTACTTTGAAGGCAGTCTTAAGAAAATGATGTTTTTCTTTTTTGCTATAGAGACCAGTTTACAAACAATGGATGTTAAAATACAAAGTTTAACACACTCATGCATTTAAGAGATTCAGTTTTGCAAATAGGCATGAACACCTAATGACCATGAGCATAGAACATGCTCCAATTTAAAATCCAAACAAAAAGTCCAGGCATTACATTGGGGTTCTCTGTTTCAGCACTAGACTACCAGAAAGTGTTCAGTTTAGCTACTGCAAAACAAAAAGATATGTTACAAAACCAGTGTGAAAATTTTTCTTTAAAATTCTTTTTTTTCTTTCTTTTTTTCTTTCCCTCCAAATCCACAACAAAGCATAATAGTTTTCCCTTGACATTTTCAGAGCAGCTCTAGTTTTATGGGACCTTCTGTCAGCCTTTTTTTTTTTTCTCAAGGTGAAATAATGCAAAGCATATTGTCCTGAAACTTTTTTTCTCTATTTCTTTTGGCAGCTGAATGTACTGTGATGGGCATTCCCAGTGTGACCACAAATCTTTCTGGATTTGGTTGTTTCATGCAGGAGCATGTTGCTGACCCAGCTGCTTATGGTAAGATTTTTAACAATGCATCAATGTACAGCCTCCCAGTTAGGAAAGCAAAAAAGCACAGTGACAATGCTGTGACTCCTCAATTTTGTGCTTTCACTAGTGCAATAAGGTTCATTGGGAGAATTTGTTCAGAGGTCTGAACACCTGGTTATACTGAATGAGCCATTCAAGCTTTGGTATATATCCAAAATGTTTCCAGGTTCTCTCTCTCTCTCTCTCTCATCTCTCTTTTAGCCTTCTGTCTGCTGTATTCTTCTAAACCCAGCATTCCTCATCCCTCTTCTAGAATCTCCCAGCACTTCCCTTTAATACTTCCGGTTACACCGTAGCATGTTTAGCCCTTCAAAAGAAGCAGTGAAGTGTTTCTCTTTGAATAGTCTAAGAGGATGTAGTGGGACTTCAGCAAACATCTT